CCCATCTGGGGTGAGGCCTGAGAGCCTGTAACTCTCACAAGCCCCAGGTATCGCTGATGGAGCTGGCTTTATGCCAGTGAGGGGCACGTCACAGGGGGTATTCAAGAAGTAAATGGCTGATTACATGGTATGGAAAGTGTGGAGAGGGTTAATGCATTGGATAAGGGTTAGGATTACATCAGTGCTCATCAGCCTTTCTGTTACAGCTGAAGTCTCCCCCACCACCACCAAACGGCATCATCCACAGAAAGTCACACATAAACCCAGCAAAGCAGAGTTGCTTGTTAGAGTGAAAGCAGGAACCCCAGAGCCCTGCCCTCTCAGCCCCCTTCATCCCCCACTTCGGGCACCTAGAGCCTCCATGAAGTGCATTAGAAGATGCACTGGATACTATTTAATACACCCATGTATCTGGTTTCAGATGCTGGGGATTATTTCAGAGACTGTTGGTGCTTGAACAACAAGGTGATTCCAGTTAGTGAGACATTAAGTAAACCTGGATTAGTGAGCATTAAGGCATTAAGGACAGGCGAATCTGCAGGATCTGGGATGACACAGTCTGTATTTAGCAAGTTTATCCTGTAAAATGTGCTGCTTCCACCAACAGAATTTAATGATCAGAGTCCATGCACACATCTCATCAAGTGGGAAGGCAGCCAAGCCATTCCTGCTGTCACAGCCTCTTGCTGTCCCTCCTGGTCCTCTCTCTGACTCACCTCTGATGCATCCCTGACCCCTCTTCTCTTCTCCCAAGGCAGATATTAATTCTGAGAGCTGATAAAACCCTGCCTGGCAGGAACCTAGGGAATATCAGAGTTGAGAGCCAAACAATAGCGTGGAGCCACACATAATAAGATTACACAGGTTCCATTGGCCGGCTCTCTAAAATAATGATTTTGGCAAAAAACTACCAAACAGGATTACCTCCAATTAACTACAAGGATATGATAAAATTTCTCCAAGAAAGTGTCAAGATGGGAGAAATGTATTTATTTTCCTATCTTCTACTGATGGAGTTTCATTCAAGAGCCATTTAGAAGTTTTGATAACTCAGACATTGCTTAAATTGAGTATTTGCCATTTCTGTGTAGAAGGGGTTTATCTGAGCAACATTTAGGGGGATGCATTTAAACTTTGATCCCATCCAAGAATCAAACCTACAGGTTGGTTTGTTTTTGTTTTTGTTTTTGTTTTTATGATTTTGGAGAGGGAGGTTGTTGAGGGGTTCCTGGAGGGAGCAGAAGACAGTGCATCTGAAGACCTAAAGACCCCAGCGCCACTAGAATGTTCTTAATGGACTTTTTAAATTAAGTTTATTGCAATAAAATATATATAACGTAAAATTTACCATTATACATTCCCGGTATTGTTGCAACCATCACCACGATCCGTTTCCAGAACTTCTCCACTATCCCAGATTCTGTACCTATTATCTCATCCTCCCCTCTTAGCCCCTGGCAACCTCTATTCTACTTTCTGTTTTTATTAATTTGCCTATTCTAGATATTTCATATAAGTGGAATCATACAATATTTGTCCTCCTGTGTCTGGCTTATTCACCTAACATAATGTTTGCAAGGTTCATCCATTTTGTACCAGGTATCAGAACTTCATTCCTTTTTATGGCTGAATAATATTCCATCGTTAATTATATACCACATTTGGTTTATCCACTCAACTTTTGAGGGCCGTTTTGGTTATCTCCACCTTTGGGCTATGGTGACTAGTGCTGCTAGGAACATGGGTGTGGAAGTATCTCTTTGAGTTCCTGCTTCCAAATCTTCTGAGCTTACATCTAGAAGTGGAATCGCGGAGTCATATTTCTGTTATTCTTCATTATCCCTGTTCTAGAATGGACAGGTTAATGCTCTAACTGATTATACTACTTTTTAACTGAAATTAAGTCCATACTTTCTGCTGTTTACAAATAAATAAGAAAATAACTTTTCCTTCTTAAAAAAAAAAAAAAAGAGGCTGGGGGCTCCTGGGTGGCTCAGTCAGTTAAGCATCCGACTCTTGATCTCAGCTCAGGTCTTGATCTCAGGGTTGTGAGTTCAAGCCCCACATTGGGCTCCAAGCTGGGCCTGGAGCCTACTTGAGGTAAAAAAAAAAAAAAAGAAAGGTTGATAAGTTATGTTTAGTGATTCAGCTTCGCATTTTCCTAATGGTCTAATCTGATCTGTGATTTTCCAAAGGGCACTTTGTTTTAAAGTGTAAGTTTTATTTTCTATTCAGGTATGGTGAGGCCAATAGATGAGGACATGACTGCCATTGAAAAGATAATTTATTACTCATAGTTCCCAGGACGAAGGGGCAGACGTGCCACACAGGGCCACAGGCAGAGAGAGAGCATGGGGCAACTTCAGGAAAGACTTTATTGTGTGTTCCAGAGAAGGAATGGGTGAGGCAGGGTAAACAGGCTTAGAATTGGCTAGTTTGAATCATTTCCGTGGGTTCCGCGCCCCTGACTGCCCGAGGTGGCCCTGGGGTGACTATGGCCGCCAGATAGCATCGCACAGTGTAAAAGCCCCTGAGAAAACAGGTGGGGGGTATGGGCCCTGGGTTGGTTAGTTTATATATGAAAGTCACCCCAACACGAGTTATCTCTAGGAATCAACTGGCACAAGGAGGGACAGTCCTTTCCAGGTCAGCAAGGCCCAGACCTCAAAGCACCAGATACAGAAACTAAAAAAATATGGTTAACACACACTTTAAGTGAAGTCATAAATCTCAAACAATGGGGTTCCAACAGGCTTGCAGACCTTGGACCTGAAACAGTGCTTCTCAGGGCTAACCAAGTATCCGAATAACTTGGAGAATTTTCTCAACTGTGGTTTCATGCTTCTACACTCAAGGCCAATTAAATGTCCATCTCTGAGCACTGATCATTTTAAAAGCTCCCCTGGTGATTCTCATGATTCCGGGCTTGAGAGCTGTCAATTTAGGACAGTGTTTCTCAAAGTCTGAACCTGGACCAGCAGCAGCAGTATGGCCTAGGAATTTGTTATAAATGCAGATTCTCAGGGGGCGCTTGGGTGGCTCCGTTGGTTAAGTGTCTGACTTTGGCTCAGGTCATGTCTCAAGGTCCTGGAATCGAGCCCCATGGCAGGCTCCCTGCTCAGCAAGAAGTCTGCTTGTCCCTCTGCTCCTCCCCCCTGCTCATGCATGCTCTCTCTCTCTCTCTCCCTCTCTCAAATAAAATAAATAAAATCTTTAAAAATAATAAATAAAAAATAAAATAAATGCAGATTCTCAGGCATACCCCAGACCTGCTAAGTGGGAAAGTCTAGGTGTGGTCCAGCCCTTTGTGTTCAAACAAGCCCCCCAGGTGATTCTGAAGCTGGCTCAAGTTTGGGAACCACTGGTCCAGGGTAAGGAGCACAGGTGAGGACTGCACAGTCCTCCCATCATGTCCTTGACCCCCAGCCTGATGAGACTGGAGCAGCCTGTCTGCACAAAATGGATGCGCTCAGCTTTGGATGACACCCTGCTTTGCTGATCTGTGGTGCGCTACTTAAGAGCTCTTCAAGTGTCCTCAAGTTGCAAATTTTAATATTCAGAGGAAGCTGAATAAGTAGTAAAACTGTGGGGCAAAAAAGTGATTGAAAACATAGTACCGATGAAGGAGAGAAATGAAATAAATAAGTGGGTTTTCCTTGTTGGGGAAAAAAAATCATTTCAGAGAATAAGCATAAACAGAGTGGAATAAAATACCATTGGGTGACTTTTCTCCAGTGACAAGAAGCTGGTTCTGGGGTCACAGGCCTGCCTTCTTATCCCAGCTCCTCTTTTTAGCAGCTGTGAATTTGGGAAAGTTAATTAATTTCTAACCTTCAGTTTCCTCATCTATAAAATGGGATTATGATGGTAGCTACCTAATCATTTGTTTTCAGGATCAAATAAGAATAATATAGTTGAGTAGTTGAGTGCTTGGCTTTGTGCTCTTCACTAATTAAAATCTAACTACCCTTTCTGCTATGAATACCGTACATTATTATTAGCACAGTGATCTAGAGTGAACTCCCCAAAATATTAGCTGTTCCCACTACGATTATTACTATTAGGAGACCGAGCCTCTCCATTAAGCTCACATCAGGAGAAAGGGGCTACAATTAGCCAGACATGTCAAGGACCCCCTGAGAAAAATATCCTTTCTCAAAATTCAAAAAAATTGAGTGTCCTACTTAGATCCTTGCCTTAAACAGAATAGGATAAGGTATGCTGTTGTAACAAACCTCAAAATCTCAGTGGCTTAACATGGCAAAGGTTTTTTTCCTGCCCATGTTCCAGTCAAACTCAAGTCAGTTGGTATCTGGCCTGCGAGTTGTAACTCAGACACCCGGGAAGCTTCCATCTGGAGATAGATTTTTAAGGGCCAGGCTTAGAAGTGGCTTGTACTTTGTGGCTTTCACCCACTGATCCTAGTTCTAAGATAAATGTAATCTCTCTCCTCCAAGCTAATTATTCTTATACCCGTGAATCCATTTGTCATGCAGAATGGATGAGAGCTCACCAACCCTTCAGTAGCTCTCATCTGAATGTACAAATTGGCCCACACTCCTGCACCAAAACTGAGCCTAAATGTAATCTGACTGGTATAAACCGAGTGGTACAACCACCTCCTGCATTCTAGAGACTATACTTCTATTAATGCAGCCTCGGGTTGCATTTTTTTGGAGGGAGAGTGTAAGGAATATTGAACTTACTATCAACTAAAATTGTCATACGTATACAACGGATTCAGTTCCCTTTCATCAGTGTTTATTCTTCTCTTCAATCTCAACAGGAATCTCTATTATGGAAAGAGCCCGCAAGAAAAACCGAAGTTGAAGAGATTTGTTTTCTCTAGTTTATCCATTTATGTATCACCCAACCATTCAATGCAGGTGGCAAGCCTCCCTGGGTGTGCCTTGTCATCCAAATGCTGAGAAAGGTAGTTGTCAAGCTTTGACCACCCCTGTTATTTCTTAGACGGACCCCTCCCATGCTCCTTGTTGCAGGTACCACATCTGTGTGACTGTGCTGATCTACTTCCTCCCCTTGCTGGTGATCGGCTATGCGTACACCGTGGTGGGAATCACTCTGTGGGCCAGCGAGATCCCTGGGGACTCCTCGGACCGTTACCATGAGCAGGTCTCTGCCAAGCGCAAGGTAATCGAATAGCAAGAGCACCTGACCCACCCTGGCACAGGTGATAGGCTGGCAGGCACCAGAGCCCCAGAGCCTCCCGAGGCCCAGAGGCTGCAAGCACAAAATATCCCTGGGTCTGTGGAACAGTGGAGGGGAGGGTGGGGATGTGGGGCGGGGGAGGGAAGAGAACTTTCTTCGTCATATTTGTAACCTGGGCCCACCTGTACAGGCAGGAGCCACTTCCTTCTTGCCTTAAGAGTAATTGGCAACCTGTCAAGCTATTAACATGCACACACATACACCACACACGTGCGCGCACACACACATTTAACTACAAAGGCAGTGAAGAGCTATTAAGTCCTCTTTTATTATTAGGGTTTGGCAAAATAATACATTCACTTGATTCAAACATCAAAAAGTATCAAAAGGAACAAAATTAGTGATGGAGAACAGACCAGGGGTTGCCATGGGTTATACTGGGGGGAGGGTCTGCCTATAAAAGGGTAGCATGAGTGAGTTTCTTTGTGGTGATGGATCAGGTCTGTATCCTGATTGTGGTGGGGTTTTCACCATCTATCCATGTGACACAATTTCATAGAACTATACACCAGAAAAGAATGAGTGCATGCAAAAACTGGCAAAATGCAAATACAGTCTGAAGTTGAGGTAATAGTGCTGTGCTAATGTTGAGTTCCTCAGTAATCACGTGATAGAGTTGTGTAAGATGAGATCGCTGGAGGTACCTGGGAACTCTCCGTACTACTGTTGCAAGTTCTTGGGAGTCTTAAATTATTTCAAAATCAAAAGTCCAAAGATATATGGAGTCTTACCATGAAAGGGCTCCCTCCTTTCCAGGTCTTCCGTCTACCCAGTTCCCAAATGCGCAGGTGTGCGCACGCACACACGCACACCACAGTAACCACTGTTATTTGTTATTAATCCGTCCAGATATTACAATGTATTTATAAGCCAAATATATATTCTTTTCTTCTTTACACAATAAATACACACTTCTTCCCCTCCCTTTTTTCGCTTAACAGTATCCACAAGATATATCGAAAACCGATACATCGAGAGCTTTCTAATTTTTTCTCTTTTGGTACCTCTTTACATAGTATCTCAGCAGTGGATGCTAGTTAGTTTTTCTCTGAAGATTTCGTGGGGATAAAAAGGAACATGTTACATCACCCACTGTTCATAAAAACCCTTGAAATCCCCTTCCGCCATCTGGTGCTCCCCTGCTGCCGCTCTCCAGACCCCTCCCTTCCCCTTCCTTGCCCAGGTACTGCCCTGGCCCATGGTTCCTCCCCACACACCCCCGCTGCTTCCTCCCCCTTCCTGGATCTCTACCCCCTGAACACCCATTCCCCTGGGTCTGCCCACCCTTGGCTTCTCCACTCACTGCCCAGAAGGATGATAGAACACAGAGGTTCTCAAACATGAGTGTGTCTCAGAATCATCTGAAGGCCTTGTCAGACACAGAATTCTGGGTTTCATCCCCAGGGTTTCTGATTCTATGAGTGTGGAATGGGGTCCCAGAATCTACATTTCTGACGAGTTCCCAAATGATGTCACGAAGCTGGTCCCAGAGCCACACTCTGAGAACTACTGACGTAATCAAAGTCCCTTGATACCGCACATAAATTGTCCTTCCTCCTCCTCGAAAGGGGTTATTATCAATACTTCCCAGCCTGTACTGGCACTGAGTGCGGCGAGGGGGTGGGAGAAGATGAGAAAAGGTGGTCTCACCTGTCTCACCCTCTTGCCAGGTGGTCAAGATGATGATCATCGTGGTGTGTACCTTCGCCATCTGCTGGCTGCCCTTCCACATCTTCTTCCTCCTGCCTTACATCAACCCTGATCTCTACCTGGAGAAGTTCATTCAGCAGGTCTACCTGGCCATCATGTGGCTGGCCATGAGCTCCACCATGTACAACCCCATCATCTACTGCTGCCTCAACGACAGGTGAGGACCCCATCCCCCACACGCACTCTGGGGGCAATAAGATCATTTGTCTCCATAGCAGCCAAGCATCCAACCTAAATGAGCCTCTGTGAGACAAAAGGGAGTGGTAGGGACTGCAGCAAAAAATGACCACGCCACTCACTCCCTACTGATTATTGCCATGCAGGATTGCGAACCCAAAGTGGGCTTTTTTTTCTTTTCCAAGAAGAACCAGAAATCCACATTTTTGTGTGAGGTGTTCTAACTTTTGAACACTGGCAACTAAGGTAGTGGGGGTGGGGGTGCACATTAAAAAAAAAACCTCTGTCATTGATGCATATAAAGAGGTCTGCAAGCTGGATCCTGTTCACGGCCTGGGAGTTTGGTCACTCTGCCCTACAGGTCCACGCACAGGGGGCTGTGCGTGCAGAGAGGGAGAGAGAGAGAGGGAGTCAGAGAGAGCCACGCACAGAGACACTGATGGCACCAGAACACCATTCTCCACGGGGCATCTTTCCCCTCACTGGTCTCTCACTTTCCCCTTCCCATCCATCCCATCATACAATCCGGGCAGCTTTCTCCAGTTTCTTCCAGCAGCTCCAGCAGGACAGGGTAAGCAAAAGGCCCTGATTCAGCCCTGACTTGGCCACACCAGTCAGGAGAGCTGTCCTAGTAGAAGCAGCCAACCTTGGACAAGTAGGAGAAGGGGGAGCCCATCAGGGACGGCGGTCAGCAATACGGAATTCGGGTCCGTGTGCAGAGTCCCCAGGAGGCAGCTCAGTCCCTCAGCTGGGAAAGGAGGCAGGGCCAGGGGGAGGAATAAAATGCTTGTCACGGTCTTTCTAGCTTTCGGTCATCAGCCTATAAATGAGACACTGTGAATGAGACACTCAGGTGCTGTGAATTTGGTGGCAGCCATTCTCTTGAACGTATCCAGATGCTCTCTGTTAGGTTAACTCACGGATTCATCTTGGGTTATATATCCCAGTACGTCTTTAAGTAAAGGCTGATTCTCCCAGTTTATCAAACCGGGGACCTGAGGCCCACGGAAGGGACGTGATTGAAGTGAACCTGTCAGCAGGCTCCTCGAGAGACAGGAGTCCTGACATGTGGGTTTCCTGCCCAGTGACGAGCACAGTACCGAGCACACAGCAAACACTTGGCGGACGCTTTTGTTAGTGTTGAATCGATCCAGCGTGGGCTGAGGTGTGGGTGGAGGCAGCAGAGTTCAGCAGTCACCCTCAGTCAGTACAGGCATTTCACACGAGCCTGGGGTCTAGTCCTGGACTGTGCCTTCATGACTGACCTTCAAATCGTTTTGGCCTTAATGTCTCCAGCTGTCAGTATAAAAACCAATAAGAGAGAGTCACGCTCGGGTATGTCCACGTGTGCAAGAGCTGAGACAGTGGTGGGAATGCCCTCTGGGAGCAGGCTGTCCCCAAGGGTCACCTCTCCATCTGCTCTCTTGCCAGGTTCCGTCTGGGCTTCAAGCATGCCTTCCGGTGCTGTCCCTTTATCAGTGCCGGCGACTACGAGGGGCTCGAAATGAAATCCACCCGCTACCTCCAAACCCAGGGCAGCGTGTATAAGGTCAGCCGCCTGGAGACCACCGTCTCCACAGTGGTGGGGGCCCACGAGGAGGAGCTAGAGGATGGTCCCAAGACCATACCCTCGGCTCTGGACCTGACCTCCAATGGCTCCTCTCGCGACTCCAAGACCGTGACAGAGAGCTTCAGCTTCTACTCCAACATGCTCTCCTAGACCACAGGTCCTCAGGAGGGGCGGCCACCACCATCTGCGTCTTGCTTCACTCCATGCATGGATAACGCCTTGATCTAGAAACCATCAGAAACACCCTCACATTGGGGCTTGTGAGAAAAACAAAAACAAAAAACCCTGGATTCTTCTGTGACTTTGTCATCCCCCATGCTGTGTGACCCAAGGCAAATCATTGAACTTCTCTGAGCTTGTAAAATGGCAAGGTTGAACTTGATTTTCCCTGCAATCCATGCCATAATTCTAAAATTAACTTTGGTTGTATGTGGGGGCTCATTCCAGGAGGAATCCTGTAGCACCTGGATTTGCCTGGAGCCCCTGTCTTACTTCAGTGAAGCTGTCCTCAGTCATGTGCAGATTACCCTCCTTTAGCTGGTCTTTACATCAACCTCACATCAACCTTCACTCGACAGGGTGAACAAAAGAAGGAACTATGTAAAATCTGAAGGAAAGATTTAACTCCGTCTTCTCAGCATCTATGAAAAGGAGGCATGGATGCCTTCCTTCAGGCACCTCAGTATTTCAGTGCATCGAAACATCCTGAGATTGAGAACCTCACGTTCATCTGCATTCTGTCCCTAGGGACGGTCCTGAGCGACCAGTGTGGCAGAATATGTCTGCTGATGCAAGCTAATGTCAGCTACACACCAAGAATCGGGAGGCCTGTGCCATACTTAATCTATCTGAGCTTCTTCCCTTATTTGTAAAACCATGGATGAAATAACCTAAGTATCCCTTTTAACATTCAAGAGTTCAAGAATTGTATGAGTTTTTTGTTTGTTTCACCAAAAATTGGTGGTCTCAAAAGGACTAGGAATAGCAAGGTCAGTGACTTAATACCCAGTTCCTGGAGAGTAGCAACTCCTAAAATGTGTCAATATCCATATCAAACGTTCTCTGGTTTATCCTGACAGAGCAGAGGACTTCATGTCAAAGCCTGCCTCTCTCCATCAGATGTTAACAGGTCAAGTCCCACAGCTGGAGATGCCATCAGGGAGGATAAACACATGCACTCCCTGCCCTGGCCTTGTGGGGTATCTTAGGGCAGGGACACTAATGCAGTCTTAGCTTTCTACCAGCATAAGGCATGTGCTCAGATATCCAATGAACGAGAAGGCTGCCCCCTGCAGCCCCACTTGTGGGAAGAGGTCACCTTGTATCTTCCCTTCTGATTCTCTGAATCTTCCCTTCCTGCCCCCATGGCTTTACTGGCCAGCTGTCTATAAGGGGTGGGATGTCCCACCCACCCCACAGGACAGTCAGTCTACCAAGAGCCATGAATTTAATCCTGCCTATCCCACTAGAGCTTTGAGGTGTCCAGCAGGTGAGCACACAGTTTCTCTCTGTCTCCCAGATTTGCGTTTTGTCCAGATGTGGCTGAAAGCAGAAGTCTCAAGTACAATCCATTAATGTCCTCTTTGTGGTTTGAAGAATGGATGCACCTGTGCTGCATTTGCAGCATTGAGGGAGACCAATGCTGCTCACAGGCTTTACAGCCTTCACCAGCCATGCAGGCTAGAACCCTACCAGGGTATTGGCAGGCCTGGAGAAGTTGTATAGCAACAGTATAAGCCAGAACAACAACCCAAGAGCCATATTCTGCAAAGCAGCATGGGAAGGATTAAATAAACTAAATAAAACCAGCTCAGTGCAGATATATGAATGAAAAACATAATTTAAGGGCAAAAAAAAAAAAATCAATGCCCAAAGCATTAGTCATACTTCCAATAAAGAATTGTGCCGTGTGTGGATCATTTACTCCAGAGGGGTATGTAAGGAACCAGCATGATTATGAGACATACCTACAAAGAAAGTGGCAAAGAATTGGAAACATCCTTTCTATTGAAGAGGCGAGGGTTGAATTCAACAAGGATTTGTGGAGTACCTGCTCTGTGCTTAGCCCTGAGCTGGGGACACAAGACCCCTCCCACTCTTGAGGAAACTACCAGACTGGCTGTGGCTAAATCACCTGTCCTAGTGGGTCCAGACTGGCCATCAGGCATGGAGGCAGCTGAGAAGCACATTCTCCCCAGGATTCTAAAGACCCACACTCAACATGGCTAATCAGGCCAAAGGCTGGGGCCTTCAGAGAGCCTTTTGTGATGAGTTCACTGAGGTTGTTGCCAAGGGAGCCACCAGTCAGTTCAGCGTAACTGAAGGGATGTGCTTGGACAGTATCACCACTGCACATAATAAGGGAGACTATTGGATGGTCATGGCTGGTTCAAATATGGCAGAACATTCCCTGCTGAGGGCCCAGCAAACCTTCCTCTGACCCACTGTCCAGCGCCCATTGAACTTATAAGAATGTTGTCAGCTCCCATGTGTGAGAAACACCATGATTTGCACCATGCATGGGTCTCATTCTTATGGCAATGTGTCACCCTGTGTTTATCTCTTGAGCATTTTTCCTTGATATACTGTCCGGTAGTAATAGAATATAAGACATCATGGGGCCATCTTTGTTATGTTACTTCCAAAATGTGGGATCCAGTTGCTGTCAATGCACTATTTGTATTGTGCCAATCTCTCCTCTTCATTCTTTCACAGAGAAGAGCTGATACACATCATGGACTCACAATCAGACCACAGTGATTGAGGGGTGGGTGGGAGACCTTTCTGGGAGGGACTGAAGGGCAGGAACCCTTGTCCTCCTGACCGCCACAAAGGTTGTAAAGGCATTTGAAAGAGGGAGTTTTGAGGAGAATATGGACAGTTACCCAACATCCTGAGTATCAGACACAAATAATAAAAATGTTCCCATACAAACTAAAGCATCTTAAACTGATATTCTTATATAAGCTTCAAGGGATCCACAGACCTCTGCAAGATTTCCACAAGTCACATGTAAGACATTGCATATGCGTGTGCATGTGTCCGTGTGTGTGTAGTAAGAGGTGCAAGACCTGAATCTCCCCCAAAGAAATCATCCACCCTCTGTTCTCCTGAGAAGGAGAGACATGAAATTGTTTGTAGGACAGGGCCGAGCAGCCTTGAGACCTTCAGACGCCGTGACCGGTATAGGCAGCCTTGGAGAACCCAGAGCGGCTGCTGGGGAATTAGAAACCGCTTTGGAACAAGAGCATGATTCACCCCAGACACGCGGATGAATTAAAGCTGTAGAACATCGTTAAAGATGTTTGTGGCAGTAAAAACACCAAATTCATGATTAAGGGGTGTGCTCACTCTTCTCCATGAAACGAGTATTTGTTAGCTGAGGAAGGACTAACCTGAGTTGTGGGCAAACAAGTCATGCCGGCTCTGGAGTACGGATATTCCTGTGGAAAGGCAAAGACGTTTCATTTAGTCCCGTGTGGGCACGTGTGGCCCACAGACACACTGCGGCTGCTTAGCCTCTGGAGCCGCAGCCGCCTCTGGTAACATGCCCTCCATCCCACCCGCAGGGTGTGCACGTCCGTGCGTGCATGTGAGAGTCCATGAGTCAACAGATGTCCTCAGCTCTGGAACCTGAGGGGGGATTTCAGTCAGAACCCCAAGTGGAGGTGGGCGAGGTGGGGGACACACCAAGCATGTTCCTCTCATCCATCTTCAAAGGTGAGGGGAGCATCTGGCTGTAGAAACTGCTTTCCTGACCCCCACAGGCAGGGTTCTGAGACACCCCCATTTCTCTGTGCTCAGTTGAGGAAAACGGGGAGGAAGGGGCCTGAGGCCGTGGCAGGGCCTATCTCACAAGCACCGAATCCTACATAAAACGGTAGAGACCTTTGCTCCCGGCCTCCCTCTCGAGCAGCTGCTCAGCCAGCAAGGAGACGAGGCTGCTGAGTAGAAGCAAGTGACTACCGGGTATGGGCACCGACATGACTGTGTGCACGGCCGCCCCCGCCCTGTCTCTCTCCCGTGACACGCTGGCCACATACATCCCCCCGCCCCCCCC